TACATGTGGAGTTATATATAAAAAAGGTAGTATTTTCGTAGATTTCAGTACCTAAAATCTTGATGGTTTGATTGTTTCTTGCACCTGTTTATTCGTTTTACTGCGGCGTCTTTGAAAATACTCAGGTGGCATGACATAACATTCCTATTATTTGATAAACTTTAGATTATTCAGTTATTAAATGTTTGAAATTATTTGTCTTTGCGGAAAACACTATTTAAAGGCCCTTAAGGAAGGCTCTTATCGAGTATAATTTTGAAACATTTTTACTAAATATCAACACAAGACAAATTAATAGAAGAATTAGTGCAGGTTTAAACAGATTATGAAATAAAACTCAAAAGATACATTTATTTATTTATTTATTAAAATATACACTATACCATAACAGTTTCACCAAAGCACTAGCACAACACAAAACAAAATGAGAATATTTTTTAGGTTAGCTCGCTTTGGCTTTTTACCGCTCGGCGCTCACCGTTCTTGGTTCTTTTCAACCAATCAAAACCCGTAAAGTAAACGCATGCGTATGAATACGCTGGTACGTCGCCCCACTTTTCGGCTTCAAGTCAATTGCAAAATGATCAGTATAGGATAGAAGTATGTGCTTTTTACTAGATCGTTTTTAATTATCATTAGTACCTAATTTCATAACAGCGTACAAAAGAATAAATTTTTATGCGAAAACCGTATGTCAAATGAAAAAAATTCAAGACACCACATTTGCTCAGAAAGGAATGAGAATTTAAAAAATTATTTTTACTTTAAGAAAAAGCAGTGGTGTAACATATTTTTCTTCAAAAACATCCAATACAAAACCTGTACAGACGCCACTGGCAAAAATAATAAAATTGTTTGTACATCGGAAAATGAATCTCGATGAATAGAAGGCGTGTACCAAATTTGAAAAAATATCTATGGTATCCCAAAGTTATCATAAAAAAATATTTTTTCATAAAACTTTAGCACCCTGTAGTTCAAGAGTTAAGACTCTTAGGACATATGTTCATATGAAGTTTTTTTTCTTAAAATGGACCCAAGAATCACCTCCTTAAATATTAGCACGTTATTAAGAAACACCCTGTATATTTTTAAATAAGTTGCATTAATTAACACATTTGTTTTTATCATCAAGATTAGAGAGGTTTCACTTGAGACAACGCTTCGTGATATCATTTCTGAGCTAGTGGCAAAAAAAAGGACCACTTGACAACACAAGACACTTTTACTGAATCTCGGAAATGCGTCGCATAGAGGACATTTTAAAAATTCATCAATCCCTCCTGTAAACGCGACAAGCGTGAACTTTGACCGGCTACGAACAAAAAATCGTGGTTCACAACATTAAGCCACTCCAGCAACTTGTATGGCACGTTCCAGTTTATCCTGGAACACCCCCGATGTCCTGTCGCCTTTTGTTAAATGTTTCCTGCACATAAAGTGAGTGGCACGCCCGCTGAAGCGTCAATTTAAATTTTGATAGATGTATCCCCGAAGCGGCAAGTGCCGCCTCTATTTAAAATGGAAATTGGATGGCCCAGGTATTCTCTCTGCCGAAAAAAAAAAAAAAACATTTCGAAATATATGAATAACTGGGCGGCGGATAATGCAGGAGACGCCGGCGAAATATCGCAGGGAAAGTTCCTGCGATTCTAAAACTTCATGAATAAAACGGGAGTCACTTTATGGCTTCTGAAAAAATAACACAGTCTGTCCTTCCACTGTTATGAAGTCACCGAAATGTCTCCAGTCAGATGTTCGATGAATTTGTAGATATTCAAATTGATTCTGTTTGACTCTTTTGTCTGATTTTATTTATAACTACTCAACATTATAATAAAAGAGCTTAACATTTTCACTTTAAGGTGGGTAAAAATATATTTTATTTACAACCACATATACAGGGTGGCCCATCGAAAACGTACCGCAAGGCATTACAGGGTAGTAGAGAACTTTTCGGCAAAATCTAAAAACAGGTCAAATTTGTTTCTGAGGGGGACAACTTTTGGCTCAAAAAGCATACCAAAATCTTCAACCCCCTAAGTGGGGGTGCTATCCCCTAAATTTTTTCAAATGGGAATGGGGGTCAAGTGGGGGGTCATTAGAAAGGGCTTTTAATTCTCTATACATCGATTCTTACTTTTTGAAAATCGATTCATTATTTTAGAAAATATGCAGCTTTGAAAATACGAACAATATTTTTGACGAGAAATGCGAAAATCGATTTAATTTTACTTCAAAACTTACGGTATTAGTCAAGTAAATGCTGAAAATGTTGTCCGCCAACTTGCATACAATGATACAGGTTGTCTTCAAACCGTTGTCGAACATTCTGGAGCACTTGCGGTGTTACTTCGCGACATACATTAATGATTCGTCCTCGCAGATCTTCCAAGGTATCAGGTGGAGTGCTGTAAACTTTGCTTTTAATGTGCCCCCAGAGAAAGAAATCTAAAGGATTTAAGTCGGGTGACCGAGGGGGCCACTCAATTGCACCTCTTCGTCCTATCCAGCGTCCTGGAAACGTCTCATTTAGGTAATTGCGCACATTGAGCGAGTAATGTGGAGGAGCTCCGTCTTGCTGGAAAATCAGTTCGTGTTCATTGTAAGCAGGGTCGTCCTCTATGATATTTGTTAGAGCTGGGTCGATGACATTTTGTAGTAAATCCAAGTACATATCGCCTGTCAAATTTCCAGGAAGGAAAAAAGGACCTACAATGGAATTTCCAAAAATACCTGCCCATACATTCAACTTCTGGGGGTGTTGGGAGTGTGTCTCATGGAAAATCCTTGGATTGGTATCAGCCCAGTAACGACAATTATGGCGATTCACTAAACCATTCAAGAAGAACGTACACTCGTCCGAAAAACACACATTAAAGAGGAAATTATCGTTTATCGCTCGTTCAGTCATTATTTCGCAAAATTGCAAACGACGATCAAAATCGTCTTCATTTAGCTCTTGCACTAGCCGAATCTTATAAGGATGGAATTTGTATTTTTTTAATATTCGTTGGACACTTGTACGACTCACTCCTGTCGCAGTAGCCAATTGCATTGTACTCAGCGTACTATCCATTGCCACTTGCCCCAATACCGCTATTTCCGTAGGTTCATTTAGTACCGGATTTTCAACCTGCCTCTTTTTGTTATGAACGGAGCCAGTTTCGCGAAATTTGGCCACCAATTCGCGAACAATTTTTCCAGACGCATGTTTCTCAGGATGCCGTTGGTTGAACAGTTCGGCGACCCGATTTCCGCATTCATTGTTTTTGAAAAAAAGCTCAATAATTTCTACTCTTTCTGGAATTGAGTACACCATAATTAATCAATTTAAAAGACTCGGCAGTATTGGTACTCTTCAACTACAAGTCACAAGACAGTTATCTAGCAACTTCTTGTGGCCTATCTAAATACGAAACAAAAAGCGGACAATTTTTTGCTCACCAAAATCAGGCTAAAGAATTCGCAAATCAGAAAAAAAAAAGCGAATTCTTTTGAAGGAATTTACCAAGCTAATACCGTAAGTTTTGAAGTAAAATTAAATCGATTTTCGCATTTCTCGTCAAAAATATTGTTCGTATTTTCAAAGCTGCATATTTTCTAAAATAATGGATCGATTTTCAAAAAGTAAGAATCGATGTATAGAGAATTAAAAGCCCTTTCTAATGACCCCCCACTTGACCCCCATTCCCATTTAAAAAAATTTGGGAGATGGCACCCCCACTTAGGGGGTTGAAGATTTTGCTATACTTTTTGCGCCAAAAGTTGTCTCCCTCAGAAGCAAACTTTACATGTTTTTGGATTTTGCCGAAAAGTTCATTACTACCCTGTAATGCCTTGCGGTACGTTTTCGATGGGCTACTCTGTATAAATATTATCGTTTAGTAGTAGTTAAGTTTCTTTGCATATTAATCTATTTCCAAAAACTTTTCGTCGGATTTTTCAAGAAGGCATTTGATAATTGAGGAGTGACAGAAAGAAACTTTAAAAAGGGGATTTTCTAAAAAAATGGTTTTAGCTTCGTTGATACGAGAGTTCCACCGTGATCATCCGTCGCAACTCGTCGAAACACGGAAGACAAGAGTGTCTTCCGCGGATAAGCGACGGTGAAAAGTGTACCCTGTAAATGTAACGCTACAATTTGGACCTTTTCGCCAATTAAAAGCTTGCTTAATATAGACTATTTTAGTGTGGGTTAGAACTAAATAGATCTACTTCAATAATCCCTGAATTTTATTTATTTTTTTTTCTTACAAGGGACGTACGTAGTGTGACATGGCTTGGTTCGTTATCAAAGGTAAAGCTGGCTGCCGAACCAGGGACGGCTTTAAATTTGTTTAAACCTTTATGTTAAAATTTTTCATTTTAAATCGTAATGTTTTAAATCATCAGTTGCTTATTTTCATGCCCTTTGTCATCCTTTTCAAGAAACGCAAATTATTTATTTTTGAATATTTATTCTAAAACTAAAGTTATTATTGCGCAATAATTATTTTTCTATGGATTATTAGGTGACGATGCTGACAGAGCAATCGACTCGGAATCTTTAACCACTTTCCAAGATATTCCTTTTGAAGGTATATTTTTCTTCTTCATTGAGTCCTCAATGTACGTTTGCACCACTGACAAACCTCCATGTTTTTGTAGAAGAGATGCTAAGATTTCAAATATCCATTGTTTTTCTGGAAGTGATTTTTATTTTATTAATACCACTTATGCCAGGGGATAAATAACTATTCATTACTTGTAAATGAGACACAAGGATGTTCTTGCAGAGAACTATATTACAAATAAATAAAAATGTACAACAAAACAGTTTTTGCCATGTTTAGTTTAGTATCAGTCGTCATTGGCTTTGAGAAAAAAATGAGAAGTATGAAAATACAGAAAAAAAACATTTCAGAAACAAGCTACGATTTCTCATTTTCATCACAAAACAGAAACGTATTTTTCCGAGAAATCATTCACGAAAAAACACGCCGCTTTTATTCATTTGCTTAGTGTAGAACGGAGGTAGAATAGGCCAAGGGTGAGGCGAGTTTCGCTACGGGGGCGGCATAGGCAAGAGGGGCGGCGACCTTGGCGTAGGCTGGGGCAGCGTAGGCAAGAGGGGCAGCCACTTTAGCGATAGCTGGGGCGGCGTAGGCTACTGGGGCGGCCTTGGCTGCGAGGGGTTCTCTGTGGACGACGGCGTTGAATCCGTTGACGGGGTCAGCGGTGTATTCGACGGTACGGCGGGTGCCGTCTGGGTCAGTCAAGGAGTAAGAACCTGGAGGAAAAATCATATTAGTTAGTTGGTTTTCAATAGTACGCATGGGTAGTTGTTCCCCAAGGCCCAATTTTGGGTCCACAGTCATACCAATTCTTATTTTTTGCTTTCATTTACGAAATGTGATTGTAATTCATTTATCTGCTGGTCTCTAACACATTTAATTAATGATCAAAAGTGAAAAATTTCCTTACCTTGGACAACATCTCCATTTCTAGTTTCGAACTGGTTCTTGCTGTCGCCTGTAATACCGTCCTGGACGTCGTATCCGTAGGAATACTGTGGGTTGGGGTCGTATTCTTCAGCAACTACGGCCTTGGCAATAGGTGCGGCCACTTTTGCAATAGCTGGGGCGGCATAGGCAAGTGGGGCATGGTGAACTACGGGGGCGGCGGCGTAGGAGATGGGAGCATGGTGGACCACAGGAGCGGCGGCGTAGGAAATGGGGGCGTGGTGGACCACGGGAGCTGCGGCGTAGGTGGCTACTGGGGCGCCGATGACTCCGGCCCTAGCGACGGCTATGACGGCGGCCAAAATGACGATCTAAAATAAAGAAATACATTGGGTATATAGCAAAAGAATATTTTTTACGTTTTAATATTAGAGCAAATGAATCTTACCTTGAAAGCCATTGTTGTCGAAGACTGTACTGGATCGAGTGTGCTTTGGAAGAACCCCATCGCGCTTTTTATATTCAGTCGTCGCTGGTCTGGTTCAGCTACTTCTTACGAGTTGGGCAAATCCACCCGGCGAATTTCTCAATGGGCCACGCCTAGCAAGAGGTCACGCGAGTCAGACAGATTTGGACGATTTTAGATAGGTGTCGAGAATTTGTCATTCAAATTCGAAGATAGAAATCTGCTAATTGTTTAATATGTCTGGTTACTAAATGCGGGGTATTGGCGTCGCGCCTTAACAAGTGAATTTGTTTCGTTTTATATAACGATGACGCTAAAATTTAGTAATTGCGACTTCCGAAATTTTTTTTCAAATTTCAGTGTTTAAACGAAATAATTTGGTCCTTGATGCAGTTGTACACATAAAAAATTTCAAACGTTAATTGCTAATTGTTCTTTATAAAATAAAATTTTATTAGTTTCGTTTGTTCACAGCTGTATATGATCAATTTTCTACACAAGGTTAGGGAATCTCAATCATTAATAAAGATTTAAAAATTTATCTAAAAGAAATGCGTAAAAATGCAATAGAATGTGTAAATATGCATTGGTTTTATGGCAATCTTGTCTTTATTAATTGTACTGAACCAGTGAATATACAGGCAGTTGCATTAAAATTAAACAAAAATTTCGTTTGTATCTCCGAAATGTAACTTTCAATTGTTTTATATACAGTACGCGCCTAAAGTATGGAATAAATTCAATAGAAACGAAACAATTTTTTTTGGGAAAAATCCTCGAACAGGTCGAGTTTTAATTTAAAAAATACATATTTTAGCATAAAAGGCGATTTTCAACCGTCATTTGTTTTCGAGTAATGACGTCATCGATATTTCTTTAAATAGCAACCCCCTATTTTTTTTCTTGATTTTGAATGATCGTTTCATTGGCGATCCGACAGTATTAAAATGTTGTCATCTTACATAGGAAAGTTTTCGAGTAAATGACGATTGAATGTTAGAAAACGTAAATTTTATTCATTAAAAAAATAACAATTCCTATGTCAAGCAAATTCAATTCATTAAGTTTTCTACCTAAATTAAGTGTTCGAATTGCCACCCACCGACTTCTTGACAATAGGCAAGTCTGTGTAGAAATTCCTCTCGCACATTATGAATTTTTTCTGGGGTAACTGTGTATTTCATCTATAATACAATTTTGGAGTTCTTCTAAATTATGTGGTCTATTAACGTACACTTTGGACTTTAAGTAGCCCCATAAGAAATAGTCCAGGGGTGTAAGATCTGCGGATCTCGCGGGCCATTCTATCGGTAATCGTCTGCCGATCCACCTCCTAGGAAAGCAATTGTCCAGAAAATCACGAACAGGGCGCGCATAGTGCGGAGGTGCACCGTCTTGCTGAAACCATAATATGGTGTCATCAGAAATATCAGGGTCATTATCGTTAGGAAAAATTACTGCAAGCGCTAGAACAAGGTCATTTTGTAAAAACTCTGAATATCTTTCTCCTGTAAGGGTTCCTTCAAACAAGAAAGGCCCTACTATTCTGTTGTCAATTATTCCAGCCCACACATTTAATTTCTGTGGGTTTTGGGTATGTGTCTCTGCCATCCATTGAGGATTTTCCCGAATCCAATACCCGCAAGTTAGACGGTTCACTGTACCATTGAGACAAAACGTAGCCTCGCTTGAAAAAAGTATTTGCCGGTGTAAATCTCTACTTACTTGACATAAATCCATCATAATTTCACAAAAGTGTGATTGTCTTCATTGAGTTCCTGCACAACTTGAATTTTGTAGGAATTATATTTTTCCTTCCTCGGGATAGGTACCACTGTGGTCTGACTAATTTTATTGTTTAATGCAACCAATCCTGAAGTATTATGAGGATATCTACCATACTTATCAAAATGTTCTATTTGTGATCTTGGACGTCCAGGTTTTGGAATATCTACAACATTGCCAGTTCATCTTCTTCATCTTCTTCATCTAGTGGTTGGTCCTTTAAAAAGTCCCATAGCACTGCGGCCTAATTAGGCCTATTGTGCGTCCCACTACTAGTCCTATTCAGCAAGAAGATTTGTCCTTTTTACAAAGTCCAAAAGCTTCCTTGCTGACACTTCTCTCAATTCCTTGGGTTCCAAATAGGGTCTCCCAAGGAGCGCCATTCTGCTACGTGCAAATCCCGGGCACTCGCCCAGGATATGCAGAGAAGTTTCATCCGCCGATTCACATCCTCGGCAGACCGGACTGTCTACAAGCTTTAGCTTATGTAGATGTTTCCTAAAGTGACAGTGTCCCGTTATGAGTCCTGTCACTCTCCTGAGCCGGATTCTA